CTCTTCGCTGGTACTTGTCGAGCCAGTGCTTCTTCAAGTCTTTCGATGGTACTGCTTGCTCCGAGGCGATCTTGTGGGCTGTCTGGTGGATCCTGTCGGCGGGTATGAGATAGTGGTTCGAGTCGGTGTGCAGTATGCGAACGAATGCCATTTGAGGTCGATCACTTGGACGTCCACCTGGGGCTGAGATGATCAGGATGTCGTCGCCGTTGTAGACTCCGCACATTACTGCTGCATTGCAGTTCAGCATACTGGGCAATGGCATCAGCCCTGGACATGAAGAGCCATCGTTGCCGATGAGGTCGGTCGAGGTCGCTCCTGGTAGTCCTGGCCTTCCAAGTGGCATCGTGCAGACTCCTCGGCCCTTCTCAGGTCGACCGCCAACTCCTGTGAACGTCGCATTGGAGGGCACGTAGGCAACTTCACTCATAGCTCCCATTGGCTGCACGATTCGATCCAGGTGTATGCGTAACAGATCTGTACGCATCAATGCTGAGGATACTCCTGTATCAGCTAGGAGTCCCAGGTTTCCTTCTCCACGAACCACATGCATGGTGCCGAAATGCTCGTCGTGAGCCGGGTAGTTCAGCGCGGTGCCGAGAGTAGTCATTAGGGATTGACTGTTGAGCGTTTGTCCAGCCAAGCCAATGGCCTGCTTGACGATACTGACCCTGGCGTCTGCTCATTTCTAGTGGGAAAGTTGAACACCGTCGTCTGCTCCGTGGGAGCTACCACCACTGCGTCTGCGTTGAACTTCGTACCCAGCTGGACGCTGTGTTTGACAGGGGTCTCGATGCGAGACCCTGTTGCGATTGACTGTGCTGGAGTGCCAAGCGAGAATAGTTCTGGTTTCGGCGCCAATGCTTCTCCATCATAGTAGTTCTCTGAAACGAAATAAAGGCTGTGGGGCCATAACTCTTCGCCGTCGTAGTTTTCCCATTGACTTGCATCAGTTTCATCGTAGTAGCTACCATTCTTGCCGTACTTCTTGCCCTTCGAGCTCGTCCATGGCTCGCCAAAGCCCTTGCCACCTGAACTGCCGTTCTTATTACCCTTGGACTTGTTGCGATACTTTCCTGTGTAGTTCTGGTACGTGCTCTTGCCCTTGTTGCCGTAGTAGTCCGAGGGTTAGCCTGATGACGATACTTGTGCTTTCTGAACAGGGCAGCCCGAACTCACGTGAAGAGGAGAGCCGCATGTCGTACACCCATCACCTGGCTTCATTGAGCCAGGCTTGCCGCTCTTGCCTTTGGACTTGCCACGTCCGCGTCCTCTGCCTCTGTCTTGGCCACTGTAGCAGTCTTATTCATCGTAATTGTGTCCTTCGTCGTGGTATGTGCCATTGCCTTCCTCGTCGTAGTAGCCGTCCCAGTCGGTCTCTTCGCCATACCACGATGACATGTCTTGCCAGTCGTCACCATAGCCAACCCACGACTAGGATTCATCTGACCACCAAGAATCTGCACTGTCTGGATAGCCTTGCTGCCAGAATGCACCTTCGTCCGTCCAATACTGCGAAACCATCGAAAGCATCGACGAGTTGGTGCCTTGAAAATCATGGTTGGCCATTCTCTGCATCAAAGCGATGAGCTCGGGGTATCCGTTGAGATCACCTCGTATCTGCATTCTTGATTCTGTCCGCATTCGTTCTGAAAGCCCTGACATCTGCAGCAGCAAGAAACTCTTACCAACATGGTTGAGCTGTAAACCTCCTCGATCTGACGCTTCTTCGAAACACAATCTGAACATCGTGAGAAAATCGGTCACGTTGCAAGGAAAATAACGACGACGACGCGACAACACTCATGTCTTGATTTATGATGTTCCAACCTACTTTCGCCTTGACCATCAGACCGACTTTCGAGCACCAGAAACAACACCAACATTCGAGGGTTTTTGCGTGTCGGGCCCTGGGAGACACTCGTCCGACACTGTTTCGACACTCTTTCGGCACTTTTCCGGGTGCTCGAAATTACTTTGGGCTGTGGTCCTTAAGTACGATGGGAGCAATATAAGTCTTGATCTTGAACCTCGAACTCTTGAGCCGGCAAATCCATCAGCAGTGAGGCTTCTGCTGGCTCCGGCGCATGCATGACTCCGTGAGCGTTCTGCCACTCAGGATGCGATGGCTGAGCTAGTAGGAGGAGGAGGAGAAGGAGGAGGAGAAGGAGGAGGACGAGAAGGAGGAGGAGGCGAGGAGGAGGAGGATGAGGAGGCGGAGGAGGAGGATGAGGAGGAGGAGGAGGAGGAGGGAGGAGGGATGAGAAAGAGGAGGAGGAGGAGGAGGACGAGGAGGAGGAGGATCTCATCTCCTTTATTTCACGGCGAACTCCGGCATTCAAGTCCAAACGTTCTTTTTTCATCTTCATGGCCAGCTGGAATGCCGCGCCTCGTAGGCGCCCTGCCATCGCTGGTCCAGCTGCATGCTCGGACAGTTCGGTGTGCCGCCACCACACCCGCAGCAACTGGACGTAGCGTCGGAGCGGGTACTTGTGGTTGCCAGGCCGCCAGTCTGGTGGAGTGTTCTTGTTGAACGTGTCGAGAGGAATACCACCTGAGGCATCGCCTTCGTTCATGTCCATGCTGTCGGTCGAGGTCTGAGTTTAAGTCGGGCCTGTCCTTTGTGAGTATTTTGGAGCATGTTTTGAGTTTTTTTTTTGTTTCGTCCAAAATCTGCCTGTAGGGGGACATGCCCGACCTACGTCTCGGTGTTCGTAGTCTTGGCGATGCCGCTCGTCAGCGGGGCCGCTTGCTCGGTGTAGGCGATGAGGATCGGGAGTGCAGCTGCTGCTGCGCGTACTGGGAGCCAGACGTTCACGTACTTCTGCTGCTGATGAGAACACATGCAGTGCTTCATGGCGCCAACATCGCAGAGCGGATCTCGTTCGGAAATCGACAGGACCGGCCTGGAGAGTCTCAGAGAATTTCGCTCTGGATTTCGAGGCGATTTTCGTGCGGATTTTTGTGGCCTGGAATGAAGGCTAAAACAAATCCACGCGAAATTAACTTCGTTTTTCACGCGCCGTTCCGGGTAGAACTCCACGCAGAAATCCACGCAGAAATCCGCTGCAGCACGTCTGCAAGGCCGGTGCAATGAAATGCTTTGACGGCTCTGTTGGAACCTATTGGTGAAGCTGTGGGCAAGGAGAAGGGCGTGTCTCAAAGGACCTGCCACCACATCAACGCTACCAGAGTCAGTTTTCCAGAGAGGAGGTCAACCGGGTTGGCTTGAGCCATACTTGCTACAGATCATATAGTCAACGCTTGATTCTGGATTTGGTCTGAAAGCCTCTGAAACACATGAAACTCAACTCGTACCCCCCCTCCCCCCCGCTGAACCCCTCCCCTAACCCCCGTCACAGAGGGGAAAAAGGGAGGGACTCGACTTAATCACGACTTTTCTTCTCTCTGTTCGTTTCTAAACTTCCTTGAGATTGGCGACGACGACGTCGACGAAGACGACGACGGCGTCCCACACACGCCGAAGGGTCGGCGGAATGCCGTGTTGTGGGGGATCATGTGTGGATGTGATTCTATTTGAGTTCCTTTCATCCTCCCAACCCAGTGGGCTCACGCCGAGCACATGCAAACGTGAGATCTTCGCATTCCTGCGGCCTTGATGTGGTTGGCGGATACAGGAGGCGAAAGAGGTGGACGTCCCAGGGCAGGCCCCAGACTTGCGGACCTTACAGGCTCGTGCAAAGGATGGGCCAATTCGGGTTTCGAGGCACGATATCTTTGAGGCTTTTAAAGAGACGTTCAGGGGAGACCCCATCATCTATGGCGCGATCATCACATTGATATTGGGATTTATCTGGAGCATTCTCGGGCATGTCTGGATCTCCACTGGTGGGGCGGTATGCAACCCACTTGGCGTCTTTCCCCTGAAGGAGGTCTACCTTGACTTCTTCTTCATTGGCTTCGTGCTCGTGTACATTGCAGCTTGGGTTTACGATTTGCGCTACTTCGACAAGGACGAGGTCCTCACCCTGCGCAGCGGGGGAGACCCAGCAGAGCTGGGCTTCCACAAGCCTCCGCCTCCCCCTGCTGTTGAGGAGCAACACGAAGAGAAGCACGGTGCACGGCCTAAGATCACCACAGTCAGAACCATCCGACCCTCGACCAGCGGAGGCGGAGGAGGCGGAGGAGGAGGAGGAGGAGGAGGGAGGAGGAGGGGGCGGAGGAGGAGGAGGAGGAGGCGGAGGCGGAGGCGGAGGCGGCGGAGGAGGAGGAGGAGGAGGAGGAGGAGGAGGAGGAGGAGGAGGAGGAGGAGGAGGAGGGAGGGGAGGAGGGAGGAGGGAGGAGGGAGGAGGGAGGAGGGAGGGAGGAGGGAGGAGGGAGGAGGAGGAGGAGGAGGAGGAGGAGGAGGAGGAGGAGGAGGAGGAGGAGGAGGAGGAGGAGGAGGAGGAAGAGGAGGAGGAGGAGGAGGAGGAGGTGGGAGGAGGAGGAGGAGGAGGAGGAAGAGGAGTAGGAGGAGGAGGTCGAGTTAGTTCTCCCAGCGTGCCCCCCAAAGATGGGAATGGATGCTTCGAAACCCGCAGGAGACGGCACCCAGCCCCGCCAAGGGGAGGTGGCCCGGCCAGCGGGAGGCGAATCTATCCTCTGTGGGGGTGGGGATGTGTTTTATTTGTCCAGACTCCTCCTCCTCCTCCTGGCCAGCCAGCGGGGCCAAACGTTCTCCGGTGAGGGTGGGGATGTGTTTAACTTGTCCCGACACCCGCGCCTGCCTCCGATTCGATTCGGTTCGACCTCGATGGCTTCCTATTCCGATTCGACTCGGCTTGAGATTTCTATTTGCGTCCTGATTTCTCGCTGAAGGCATCCTAGCCTGCCGATGTCTGCCGATTCGACTTTTCCCGACTCGGCTGCCGATTTCCGCCGATCCGATTCATGTCGATCGCCGATCCGGCTTGCCGATTCGATCCTGGGCTCTCCTGCACCCGTTACATCCCCCTACAGAGAGCGGAGGCAGTGAAGAGAGGAGGCAGTGAGGCGGGAGGTAGGAGGCGATCGGGTGAGAGGAGAGCGGGGGTATGAGTGAATTTTCCTGCTCTGGGCAAGGGCTCCTGTCCAACTGGTTCAACAAGGGCGGCAACGCTGGTTCCTCCTCGGCGGCGGCGCCGCCTGGGCCGCCGCCTGGGCCGCCGAAAAAGGGCAAGTGCAGGCTTGCAATCAAGCTTGCTTTTTCTATGTTCCTCGACGCGCTGGGCAATGCGACCTACGTTTTCCCAGGGGTTGGCGAACTCGGTGACGCAGTGTTCGCCCCTGCGTCGGCCGTCCTGGTAAAGATGCTCTACGACAAGAATGGCGTCGCAGGCATTGCCTTCGCCGAGGAAATTCTTCCGTACACGGACATCACTCCGACAGCAACGCTCGCTTTCTTTATGGAGAACGTCATGGGGAATAATTGCTTGACGAGGTGCTTCGGCTTCAAGAAGTTCGAGTAGGCTCCAAATTCCACTGCGGGCAATGGTGCATTCAGACTCCATTGGCGATGAAATCGGAAGGAGCCGCCCAGCGGGGCGGAGCGGGGGGGGGGGGAGGGGGAGGGGGAGGGGAGGGGGAGGGGGAGGAGGGGGGGAGGAGGAGGAGGAGGAGGAGGAGAGGAGGAGGAGGGGGAGGGGGAGGGGGAGGAGGAGGAGGAGGGAGGAGGAGGAGGGGAGGGGGAGGAGCCGTCCTCCTCGGCCCTTAGCTGTGCCGCTCGACGTGTCCGACGAGCTGCCGGCGAAGCGGTGCTGCTCTGCCCAGCGAGTGCCGCTTTGCCATCCTCACCCCCTCCACGTTGCCTTCTCGCTTCTCCTCTCCTCGCTTCCCCTCTTCACTCCTCCTCCTCCTCCTCCTCCTCCTCCTCCTCCTCCTCCTCCCTTCTCCTCCTTTTTCTTGGCCGAGCTCGGAGCGGTCCAGCCGCTGAAGCGTCACCTCCTCCTCTCCTCCTCCTCCTCCTCCTCCTCCTCCTCCTCCTCCCCAGCAGTGTCCTCCCTCACCCATCCCACATCCCTTCCTCCTGCCGGCGCTAGCACTTGAAACAGCACCGCCTGTTGGCTAGGTTCCTTCCCAGAGCGCACCCAAAGTGGTGACTCAAGCGGCTCATTTTCGGCGTTCTGCCGACCCCCCAAAGGGAAGTGCAATTGCGTGACCATTGCAGAGGACGGCGAAGAATGAGGAAGAGCAAAAGGCAGAAGGGAAGGGAGACGGGAGGTGGTGGGGGAGCCTTAGAGGTGAGTGACGGTGGCCCAGTAGAGTGCGATAGGAATGGTGGGCTATTGTGAGCATCGCGGGGCCATGGTGGGTTACTTAGGTGTGGCCATGACACGCGTGCGCCAGAACACTTGGGGCCGTCTTGGGGCGCTCCTGGGGCTCTCTTGTGGCCATCTTGAGGCCATCTGTGGGCTCTCCAGGGGCCCGCTTCCACCTCCTCCTCCTCCTCGTCCTCCTCCTCCTCTTTGGTGGCCTTCGGAGTATCTTGGGGCCGTTTTGGAGGGTCACGGGGCCGCCTGGAACCAGTCTTTGGGCGGTCTCGGGTCGTCCTGTCGCTTTGGAGGCTGTTTTGGGGGCGTCTTGAGCCATGTAGGGAACATATGGGCGTGCACCACACAGGTTACACTTAAGTTGGGCCCGTCCCTCTACATGAGGAAAATTCCAAATTATCCCGGCAAAGCAACCTAACAGCGATGTGTAGGAGCATATCTGGAAGCATTCCCCTTAAGATTCAGATGAGAATCCAGTTGTAGAATTCTGCTGTTCTCGCAGTCGTAGTCGCATTCGCGATGACAGTCGCAGTGGCAACGGCAGTCGCAGTCACAGCCTCAGCCTCAGCCTCAGCCTCAGCCTCAGCCTCAGCCTGCCTCAGCCTCAGCCTCAGCCTGCTTCAGCCTCAGCCTCAGTCTGCCTTCAGCCTCGGCCTCAGCCTCAGCCTGCCTCAGCCTCAGCCTGCATCAGCCTCAGCCTCAGCCTCAGCCTGCCTCAGCATCAGCCTGCCTCAGCCTCAGCCTCAGCCTGCCTCAGCCTCAGCCTCAGCCTGCTTCAGCCTCAGCCTCAGTCTGCCTTCAGCCTCGGCCTCAGCCTCAGCCTGCCTCAGCCTCAGCCTGCCTCAGCATCAGCCTGCCTCAGCATTCAAAATGTGGCCCGGGAATGGAGTTCTGGGAACTCGAAGAACACGAAGTGGCCTACAGTTGGCTCCGGGCATTCAAAATCATGCCCAGGAATGGAGTTCTGGGAACTTGAAGAGCACGAAGTGGCCTACAGTTGGCTCCGGGCATCCAAAATGTGGCCCGGGAATGGAGTTCTGGGAAGTCGAAGAGCACGAAGTGGCCTACAGTTGGCTCCGGGCATTCAAAATGTGGCCCGGGAATGGAGTTCTGGGAAGTCGAAGAGCACGAAGTGGCCTACAGTTGGCTCCGGGCATTCAGAATGTGGCCCGGGAATGGAGTTCTGGGAGGTCGAAGAGCACGAAGTGTGTGACTGTTTGCGAAAAGCGTATTCGGACACGAGTTCGGACACAGATCCCCGGATGCCGCCCCGACCCCCCTGTGGAGTCATCTGCTGCTCTCTTTTGACCCCACTAGAAACCTATCAGCAAAAGCTGTTAGGTAATTCGCCAGTTTTTTTGTTCTAAAAGTAAAAAACATAAATGTATATATTAACACATTAATATATATATATATATATATATATATTAAAATATAATGTTTTGTTATATATATATATATATATATTATTAACATTCGTATCATTATTATATCACTTTTTATTTTATTATTACCATTATTATTATATACAAATATACAAAAAAGATGACATAACCTGTTTTTTATGATACATTTTTTTAGGTTTTCGTCCACACCAGCCTGTAGGGGGACAGGCCCGACTTAAGGTTACACCACATATGCTACACGTCCAGAGTGCAAGGACTCACTGCTTTGGGTCCGCGTTCGTAGACATTCGGCAGCGTTTTGACTGGTCGGTGGAACATCGAGCGCCATTTCTCGAAAGTCTCTCTTTTCCGCGCTCGCTTACGCATCTGCCGTGATTAAGACTCACATGCTGCTTCGTCCCCTCGTCGGCGCTCCACACTGTAGCAGCTAGAGGTGTCCGAGCGCCAGTGGACCACATCAGTACTTCACACAACCACACTTCTAGGAAGCTTGAGCCTTTTGTGGAAGAGTTGGCCAGCTGGACAGCATTACAGTGCACCGATATGCGCCTGGTCCTGCCGGGTTCGCAACCAAATGAGGCGGCGCTGGCTTCGTGCTTCTGAGAATATTTTCCCCGATCCATGGATCTAACGCCCACGCGCCAGACTCTCAGATCCGTAATCCGTTTTTTCCTGTGCTCGAGCTTCCCGTTCTTCCGCCCCCCCTCGCCCATCGCCCCCCCTTCACTCCTCCTCCTCCTCCTCCTCCTCCTCCTCCTCTTCGTCCGCCTCCTCCTCATCTTCATAGCGAGCCGATCTTCACAATATCGACTCGAGGACGGGGATTGGGTTCGCGAGAGTGGAGCACCCTTGCTGGTGTGCTCTCCGCGGACCTTCATTCTCTTTTGCTTCCCTGTCCTCTCTCTTTGTGGTGCCTGCGGGGCTCCGAGATCCTGTCTCTCGGGTGGGGGCCACCGTCTTTCTTGGCACCTCGGGTGGCTGCTCGGGCTGCCCCTTCGCCTGTGCACGCCTGGCGCCCGTGGCTTGACCTCGGAGCGCGGCGTCCGCCAGCCAGCGTCGTATCCTCCTCATCTTCATCCTCCTGCTCTTCCTCCTCCTCCTCTTCCTCCTCTTCCTTCTCCCGCTCCTGCCGCTCCTCCTCCTCCTCCTCCCCCTCCTCCTCCTCCTCCTCCTCCTCCTCCTCCTCCTCCTCCTCCCTCCTCCTCCTCTCCTCTCCTCCTCCTCCCCTCCCCCCCTCCTTCTCCCCCTCCTCCCGCTCCTCCTCCTCCTCCCCCCCCTCCTCCTCCTCCTCCTCCCCCCCCCTCTTCTCTCCCCCCCTCCCTCGACTTTTTCCTCTCTCGCCCCCCCGCCGGCGGGAGCGGCCGTGCCCCGTGCTCGCCGAGGTCCACGCGGTGCGCGCGGCGCTGGACGAGGGCGACGCGGGAGCCCTGGAGGCGGGCCGCCGCCCACGACGGCGACGGAGGAGGAGGAGGAGGAGGAGGAGGAGGAGGAGGAGGAGGAGGAGGAGGAGGAGGAGGAGGAGGAGGAGGAGGAGGAGGAGGAGGAGGAGGAGGAGGAGGAGGAGGAGGAGGAGGAGGAGGAGGAGGAGGAGGAGGAGGAGGAGGAGGAGGAGGAGGAGGAGGAGGAGGAGGAGGAGGAGAGAGGAGGAGGAGGAGGAGGAGGAGGGGGGATGGAGGAGGAGATGGAGGAGGAGGAGGAGGAGGGAGGAGGAGGAGAGGAGGAGGAGGAGGAGGAGGAGGAGGAGGAGGAGGAGGAGGGGATGGAGGAGGCGAGGAGGAGGAGGAGGAGGAGGAGGAGGAGGAGGAGGAGGAGGAGGAGGAGGAGGAGGAGAGGAGAGGAGGAGGAGATGGAGGAGGAGATGGAGGAGGAGGAGGAGGAGGAGGAGGAGGAGAGGAGGAGGAGGAGGAGGAGGAGGAGGAGGAGGAGGAGGAGGAGGAGGAGGAGGGAGGAGGAGGAGGAGGAGGAGGAGGAGGAGGAGGAGGAGGAGGAGGAGGAGGAGGAGGAGGAGGAGGAGGAGGAGGAGGAGGAGGAAGAGGGGGAGGAGGAAAACAGGGAGGAAGAGGAAGAGGACGACGACGACGACGACGGCGCAACGATCACGACGACGGCGACGGCGGCGACGACGACGGCGACGACGACGGCGACGGCGGCGACGGCGACGGCGGCGACGACGGCCCAGCGGAGGTACGTCCGACGCGGATCACCTCGGTACCTCGCTGCCCCCCTGGGGGGCTTGCGATCTGCGCAACTGTCGCCACTTTCGTGGGCTCCTGGGAGGCCCAGCGGAGGCACGTCCCACGCGGATCACCTCGGCACCTCGCCGCCTCCTGGGGGGCTTGCGATCTGCGCAACTGTCGCCACTTTCGTGGGCTCCTGGGAGACCCAGCGGAGGTACGTCCCACGCGGATCACCTCGGGACCTCGCCGCCCCCTGGGGGGCTTGCGATCTGCGTATCTGTCGCCACTTTCGTGGGCTCCTGGGAGGCGCAGCGGAGGTACGTCCCACGCGGTGACTGGGTGGTGGACCAGAGGCCACTGGAGTGCTCGTGGGGGGTCGTCTTTAGGGCCTCTTGGGGGCTTTCGGGGGCCTCTTGGGCGCAAGCGTTCGCCTCGGAGGCGGGCGTTCACGCAGGAGGCGAGCGTGCGCCCTGGAGGTGGGCGTGGAGCCCGGAGGAGGTCCCCTGGGCGGCTCCCACACCTGGAAGAGGCAGAAGAGGGGGAGGGAGGATGAGGGAGGAGGACGAGGAGGAGGAGGAGGAGGAGGCAGGGACGGCGGTGACGACGACGACGACGACGACGAGGACGAGGACGAGGAGGAGGACGACGACGACGACGAGGACGACGACGACGACGACCACGACCACGAAGACGATGCCGACGACGACGACGACGACATTGACCACGACGACGACGATGAGTATGGGTGCGAGCTGGAGCAGTGTTTTGGCGGACCTGGGGTCTTGTAGCTGTTTGTCGGAAGGCGTAGGGGACGCCCAGAGCGCCGTTCGCCTCATCCTTCTCCTCCTTTGCCTCATCATTTTGTCTGGCGCTGAACCCTCCGGGGCTCGTGCCTTTGGCGCTGAACCCTTCGGGGCTCGTGCCAACCGCGTTGAGAGCGCTGAGCCCTTCGGGGCTCGTGCTTTCGACGTCTACAGCGCTGAACCCTTCGGGGCTCGTGCTTTCGACATCTTGAGCGCTGATCATTGCTTTCGCTACCGTGCCCTTTTGTCTCCATTTTTGGGTTGCTTTATCTTTACTGCCGGTGCCGCGCCATTTTTGTCTCCACTTCTTCGGGAGGTCTCGTTGCTTTCGCTGCCGTTCTCTTTTGTGTCCACTTAATGGGTACTTTTTTACCGCGCCCTCCTGCGTCCATTTCTGGGTGCTCCTGCTTATCCTCGAGGCCGCGACCTTGTGCTTCCATTTTTGGGTTCTTTCCTCTGGGTTCGCTGCCGCGCCCTTGTTTTCTCCACTTTTGGGTGAGTCTCCGCCCCTCTTATGCAGCCCATGCATTTGCCTCTTTCAGCGCAGCGCGTTGCTGAGTTAAACCGATGTTCTGGTTTAGCCCTCGCCGCCCCCCGCTCTTGTGTTTCTTTCAACGCCCTTGTGCTTCCATTTTGTATGTTTGCTGTTCCTCTTTTTGATGCTGGCTCTCTTCTGATTTCATTCCTGAATGCTCTTCTTGCGCACTGCGGGTCCGTCAGAATGCCAGTCAGCATTGAGTGGTGCTGAATATAAACGCCACGTGTATAAAAAGGGTTGGGTACGTCGCAGGCTCATTTTTTCCCAACCCTCCTGTGTTGGGTTCTCGTTTTGAATAGAGCAGTGTGGTCGCCCCGTCCTTTCTCCTCCTTCCCTCTCCTCCCCTCTCCTCCCCTCCTGCTTCTCTCCTTTTTCCTGTGTTCCCCTCCCCGTTCCTCTTCTCTCGTGCCGTCGGGCTGCGATCTGCGCAACTGTCGCCACTTTCGTGCGCTCCTGGGAAGCCCAGCGGAGGCACGTCCCACGCGGATCACCTCGGGACCTCGCCGCCCCCTGGGGGGCTTGCGATCTGCGCAACTGTCGCCACTTTCGTGGGCTCCTGGGAGGCCCAGCGGAGGTACGTCCCACGCGGATCACCTCGGGACCTCGCCGCCCCCTGGGGGGCTTGCGATCTGCGCAACTGTCGCCACTTTCGTGGGCTCCTGGGAAGCCCAGCGGAGGTACGTCCCACGCGGATCACCTCGGGACCTCGCCGCCCCCTGGGGGACTTGCGATCTGCGCAACTGTCGCCACTTTCGTGGGCTGCTGGGAGGCCCAGCGGAGGTACGTCCCACGCGGATCACCTCGGTACCTCGCCGCCCCCTGGGGGGCTTGCGATCTGCGCAACTGTCGCCACTTTCTTGGGCTCCTGGGAGGCCCAGCGGAGGTACGTCCCACGCGGATCACCTCGGTACCTCGCCGCCCCCTGGGGGGCTTGCGATCTGCGCAACTGTCGCCACTTTCGTGGGCTCCTGGGAGGCCCAGCGGAGGTACGTCCCACGTGGTGACTGGGTGCTCCTGCTTATCCTCGAGGCCGCGACCTTTTGCTTTCAGTTTTGGGTTCTTTCCTTTGGGTTCGCTGCCGCGCTCTTGTTTTCTCCACTTTGGGTGAGTCTCCGCCCCCGTTATGCAGCCCATGCATTTGCCTCTTTCAGCGCAGCGCGTTGCTGAATTAAACCGATGTTCTGGTTTAGCCCTCGCCGCCCCCGGCTCTTGTGTTTCTTTCAGCGCCCTTGTGCTTCCATGTTGTATGTTAGCTGTTCCTCTTCTTGATGCTCTCTGCTGATTTCACTCCTGAGTGCTGTTCTTGCGCACTGCGGGTCCTTCAGAATGCTGCCGAACAGCATTGAGTGGTCCTGAATACAAGCGCCACGTGTATAACAAGGGTTGGGTACGTCGCAGGGTATCTGATTACACATATATATATATATATATCTGCCGCTGTTAATTCCAATTCAACCGCAATCACTCTACTACTACCACTACTACCACTGCTGTTGCTACTACTACGACTACTGCTTCTCCTCCTCCTCGTCCTCCTCCTCCTCCCCCTCCTCCTACTACTACTACTACTGCTACTACTACTACTACGGCTACTACTACTACTACTACTACTACTACTACTACTACTACTACTACTACTACTACTACTACTACTACTACTACTACTACTACTAACTACTACTACTACTACTACTACTACTACTACTACTACTACTACTACTACTACTACTACTACTACTACTACTACTACTACTACTACTACTACTACTACTACTACTACTACTACTACTACTACTTACTACTACTACTACTACTACTACTACTACTACTACTGCTGCTACTACTACTACTACTACTACTACTACGGCTACTACTACCACTCCTACTACTCTACTACTACTACTCCTACTACTCCTATTCCCACTACTACTACTGCTACTACTACTACTGCTACTACTACTAGTAGTTCTAGTACTAGTACTAGTACTAGTACTACTGCTACTACTATTATTATTATTATGACTACGGCTACCAATATGACACCGGAGAAATAACCCAATCATAATCTCTTTAGCGCTGTAGGGCAATAGGGCTATATGGGCTATAGGTCCATTGGGCTATAGGAAAATAGAGCTACAGTGGGCTATAGGGCTATAGGGCTAGAGGGCTATAGAGTATAGGGGTATAGGGCTATAGAGCTATAGGTCTATACGGCTATGGAACTATAGGGCTATTGAGCTATAGGGCTATAGGGCTGTAGAGGTAAAGAGCTGTAGGGCTATAGGGCTATGGGGCTATTGGGCTATAGGGCTTTTGGGCTATAGGGCTATACGGCTATAGGGCACCCCTGGGCACCCGGGCACCCTGGGGCACGCCCAGGCACCCGGGCACCTGGGCACCCGGGCACCCGGGCATCCCCGGGCACCCGGGCACCTCCGGGCACCCGGGCACCCGGGCGTGCGGCGAAAAACTGCGGCAAACCTAACCTAGCCATATGAGTCCGCTAGGACCCCTACAGAGGCAAGCTCTGATTGGGGAACTACTACTACTT